TGTTTGCTGTATGTCGCCTGATCTACTCGGGCGGGAACAGTCCCTCGAAACAGATCATCATGTAGTGTTTCTCGAAACCTTGCCATATCTTCAGGCGAGCTGCCGAGGCATCTCTGCCGAAGCAGTCGAGCTGCGTCGGCAGCCATGATGGCCGGTGCAAGCGTGTGTGATGTCAGCTATGTAAAGCTTAGAGTCTCAGACTCAGAGTCCATGTCCATGTCCGGGTTGATACATGCTGAGTCTTGCAGGAGTCATGCAGCTGATGAGTGGATGATCCGTGGATGCGACTGCCTTAAGTCCACACATTGATTTCACTAGATGCTTGATGGTGACTCCCGCAAGGAACCTTCGCAACATGAGATCATCGTCGATACCTGCAGGACTCAGCCTCGCCACTTTCAAGCAAACCAACGACTCAGCTAGGAGGACCTATGCGGTCCGGCCGCAGCACACGCAGCAGGAACAAGCGATGGAACCTCAGATCATGCGGCGTCATCCACGGAAAGCCTCCCCTGGCAGGAACGATCTAAAAGCCCATGCAAGGACCAGACGTCGAAAGCTCGCGGCAGGCTCGTGGCAAGTCTGCAGCCTGAGTGGAGAAGTTTATGACCCGCCTAGTGTCTACAAGACGCCAGACCATCATCCGCCTCAGCTTTCTCCTCCGCGAACCAGCGCTTCCAGCCGAGGGAGTCCTTTAAGGGGATATATCTCCGGGCCCGAGGCTCTGAGAAAAGCGGAGCAGATGCTGGAAAAAAGTCAGCATTCCCAAGCGCAGAGAGGCAAATATATCCGTCCTGCTCCAGAGTGCTCGTAAGGGCATTGGAACCTTGTCTCTCAGGTTTAAAGCATGGCTGAGACCATGGCCTGCAGTGCCCTTGCACTCCAACTGCAAAATGCAAAACTTTGCGACAAGCCCAGCGCCTGTCTTGAAAACGCTGATCTGCTCCAACGTCTTCAATTGGGCCCACCTCAGACACGGAAGCTTGGCAACCCGCGAACGGATGGGGTCGTAGCTGCGTCGTAGCTGTTCTCCACTACAAGACACGATCCAGTAGCCAGTCAAGGGTAAATGTGCTTCAGAGCTGAGTTCACTGCTGATGCTCTGTGAGCCAGCTTCTTGTTGTGTCCGGCATGGGCGACGCCAGAGGGTCGACAGGAGCTCGTATGAGAACTGGCAACAGCTCGGTGCTTCCGTAAACTGGTACTGGCAGGGACATTCTCATATTACCTAACGCCATTGCCCCAGGTCTCGTTCATTCCAAGTCCCCGAGACGACACAGGACTAGTTCAACATGCTGCCCATCCATCTCATCAACGTACAATAGTGTAAAGTCAAACGTCTCCGTGACTACAGACCCAGGCTCCCTGTCTCAAGCATGGTGCGGCGTACTGTTCAGCTCTTCCGGATGTACTTCTCCGGACCGCACCAAGATCTTCAACGCCAGCATCGAGGCCACCTGCGGAGTCCCGGCGGAAAACCTTTTCCCCAAAGAGTCAGTGAGTGCTTGGTGCTCAGATGTGCTCAGGTTGAGACGGTGAGCTTGTCTGCATCCAGCAGTCCACGCCCTGGTGCTCAAACGACTGCAACGTGCTCCCTTTTTTCGCTCGGGCAAGGCCCATGCGCAAGTAGGCGAAAACGGCGAATGTCACGACGCCCTTCCAGGCGCTGAAGTCACTACACTGCTCGAAAATGCACAGGATCACCAGGGCAGAAGGCGCGCCTCCAACTGCTTCACTCGATTTGTGAGCTCCTGCCCTGTGAGCTCCACAATCTCCTCTCAAGCTCTTGGGGCTAAGCTGCACAGCGTCAACGGAACGCAGCGAGAGATCTCAAAAAGACCGTCGGGTCTCTCCTCTTCCTCCTCTTCTTCTTCTGACTTTGCGACAGCGTCTGCACCTGCATCGTCCTGGCTGGCCTGCAGCTGCAACTTGGCCACGCAATTAGGACCACTTAGGGACAGCCTGTCAGAGTCTGCGTGCGCCACGCCTGCTCAGGTAATCCGATGTCCTCCTTTGAGTCTCCTCTGCAAATTCCAGCATCAAGCATCGCAAGACCCACTCCAGTCTGCACAGGCCCGGAATGCAGGGTCTATCCTTCGACGTCCATCTGCTCTACGGTCGGTGCCCGCTTCTCCTTCAACATCAAAGGCTCGAAAATTGGAGGGGGAGCGCGCAACTTCTGCATGACTGTCGGCTTCAAGCAAGACTGGCCGAATATGCAACTGACACAATACCAGTACCCACAACTCCTGTAAGAGAATTGAGAGCCCTGATTTTCAGCTGCTGTGCAAATGTCACACTTTCACCAGTGGCAGTCGACCCCGAGAGTGGTTGCGACAAGTGGCGACTACTGACGCCAGCCGCAAGGTGCATTTTGTACATGGGGGTCCACTTCTCCACTCCGTCATACTTCGTCATTCGGTTGTGGCCAAGTGAAAATGGAAACGGACTCCCTGACCTAAGCTCCATATCCCATGGACAAAGGTATACCAAAGAAGCTCTGGCTGAGGAGCTGGCCCAACTCAGGGAACTGCTTGCCTGTCTACAGCTTTTCGAAAGCTCCACGCACTGCAGAACTGCAGAATTTGTGCCCACCTGCGCTCCTTCGGACAAGATCGGCCTTGTGATGTTTGTGGTTGTGTGCCTCTGTGTGTGTGTGTGTGTATAAATATATAGAAACATTCATCAATCCTTATGTGCCTTTGACGCTGTCCTTGCTTTGCATGCTTGTAGAGCTGTTTTGATTTTGGTTTTTGTATGTGCCCTCTTTGGACAGGCTTGGAGACAAAGGAGGATCGTAACTCAGGCGGGGACTGGCGAGCCAGGCCAGTCTGCCTCTCCACGACGGCCCAAGCCTTCTGTGTCTGCACTGGGCATGGTAAGGCTAAGTATGGAGAGTGCAATGCACTGCTTTTCGACAACTGAAAAGCTGGCTGACAGCTGAAGATCTCGTATGAGAACACACCATGACCCAGGAAGATCTGCTGCACGCATGCATAGGAGCCAAACCTCCTCGGGCGGTCGCTGATTGATATGCCCCGGCCTCGGCACGAACAAAGAGGCAGAGAAAAGGGGAGTTGATGAGAGAGTGAAGGAAAGATCGGCCCCCTACCCGGGCACCCAGGGAGGAGCCCAGGAAAGCACCAAGGCACGCTTTGTGTGAAGACCTCAACTTTGGAGCAGCGACAACGAGCAGAGCGAAGTCTCCCGTGAGCAAGCGGCCGAGGTTTGAAAGAGCTTGCTGCTCCAGAGAAGGAAGGATGTGCTCCATGACCTGCAGCACAGCGATGTGCCGAGTGACAACAGGCACGACGGCTGCGAGTAGGAGGAGTAAGTCTGCCAAGTAGCCTCAAGGCACAAGACGACGTCACACCCAGCATCCACGAGCTCCAAGTGTTGGACATCCAAGCCTCATCTCCGCGGTTGCGATCTTCACCACCGCTAACAACGACACAGTACACGTCTTTAGGTCGTCGCGAGCATGCCGAACCGCACCTTTAGTGATTTCCTGCAGACAGCTTGCGTTTGGCTTTCATGCAAAGCATGCAGATCAGGGCAAATCCTCCACACCGGGTATCGCATCGAAGGCATAAGCGCTCACCAGGCCTGTATCCTGCATTCTGCAGCTCTCGGATGCTCTCGGTGCTTGGCTACACCAACACCCGTCTAAGGGTCCGGCATTCAGCCACTCGGAGTAGTGGCCACCAAATGCACCCAAGTCACAGACGTTGTCACCCTGTCCAGGTAGACTTGAAACAGATGGGATCTCTGTCTTCATGATCTACGATGCGATGCAAACAAATTCCTTGCAAAGGGGCGTGTATGCAATCACATGAATCATATACGTACCCACCCACCCACCCACCGACCGACCTACGCACCACTTCGTACGGAACAAGCTGGGTCACACCGCTTAGCAGCCACTGTGCAATAGCATGCTCGCATGCAGTTGCAACACGTTTCTCGTAGAGCCTTGCGCAGCACCATCGAGAGCAAGAAGCGCAGGAGGCCCTTGTCCAAGTGCCAAAGGCTTCCCCCGGAGTGCAAGGCCTCCGAGAGCGTGTTGCTTGCGCCACCGACCCCTGCCAAGTTATCCTGGATGCCGGGTGTCTCACGCTTCGGAGCTCCAGGGTCCAATCTGTCTGCACATCCCCCTCCATGTCTACTTCCGATGGCTCCTGCAAAAGCTCAGCCCTAACCGTGCCGTGGCAACTCCTAGGTCCTAAATGCTTATAAGCAGACAAGATATTGGGCCCGATCTGGCTCCTGCCACAGCAGCGGCAAGGCATCTGTGAAATTTTCCTGGCTGGCACGTCGCATCTCATCTCCGTTACTAATTATGTCAGCCACGACGTGTGGTACACAGACTTTTCCATGTCTCCGGTCGGCCACCTGGCTGTCGCCCAATGTCTGCTCATGCCTTGGTTTGGGGACGCTGTGCCGTGCATTGACATTCTTCTATTGTGCTCTCTGTTTCTGTGCACGTCGGAAGTCTTTTGAGCTCAAGAATGGTCGGACTTCGTGGTTGGGCGCTACAGCATCGGATTATTTAGGCCTTACGGAGGGTTTGAAGCTTCCCACCCTTCTGCCTGTGCCAGCCATAATCTCACTCAATGGCTTCTCGATGCGTTTCCGCCCAACATTGACATCCCGAACATCTCCTCCTGTGCTGTGGGATTCGCGGCCCCCAATAGTTCCTTCTAGATTTTGTTGGTGAGCTTTCCCACCAACGCCATCATCCCCTGTACTGTTCATGATAGCCAACCTAACATCTCCTCCTCTTAGAGGTTTTGCTCTTCAGGCTTCTCCTTCTAGGACAGTTTGCCAGTCAGCATCTCCTGTCAGCGCCTAAGAGATGACATCAGGTTCAGGGTTTCAGAAAGCCAGAAAGCCGACGCCAACTCGTGTTACTTGGCAACAACGACGAAAGAAACCACCCCAAGAACCTGGCTACGGAGTGAAGCGAAACGCGCTTGCGCTGAAGCGGCCCGGTCTGGGCTCCTGGCAGGCCCAACCTTTGGAGGAAGTAACCATCGAGCTTGGCCAGGTGGAAAAGAGTCCAACCAGCCTCTGCGCATGAAGGCACAGTGTGGCACAGTGGCTTTTGCCCAGCTGTGCCCTTCGGCACCTGCGCGGCTACGTGCAGAGCCGTGTCTGCATGCCATTGAAGCCCGTAGCCTTGGCGCTGGAAAGAAGCAACAAGTGCCTCCTGAAGTGGCTTCAACTGCGACGTGACAGCTGACTGGCATTGGTGACTTGAACACTTGAACTGAGTAACTGATCGATGCCATTTGTGCTTCAAACTAAAGCTCCTCGTACGGGTATTGACAGTATTGCTTCAGTTCCAGAGGGCCGAGGAAGATTCGAGCAATGGCCTACTATCGGTTGTAGAGCAGTGACACTGATGGAAGTTGAATAAGTTTGGATAAGCAGGGCGAAACTGTCGAAACTGATGTGTCTATCGTCAGCAGCAGCAGCAGCAGCCGTATTAGAAGACTTGTGCTGAAAAAGAGAAGCACGACGAGAACCGCAGCAACAGCAATAAGAAACGTCAACAGCAATGGTCATGACAAAACAGCGGAAGCAGTAGCCCCAGCGATCCGTGCAACACACACACACACAGACACACACAGACACACAGACACACACACACACACGTACGTACAACAACACGATATTCTCACAATTTCATGATCAACAATATCGTAACATCTGCAGCATCACTGCGACAGCAGTTTATCCTTTGTGGTGGCTCACTGGCTCCCTCGCTCCCTCCTTCCTTCCCAAACTTCTCGGACCTCTGAGGTGCCAGCGAGCATGTGCCAAGCGGCGGAATGCGGCAAGCTGCCATCGCATGTCGTTGACCTCAACCAGAGAACCAGCCAGCTCTCAACAAAGCAGATATGGTCAGGTGCCATTCGCGACTGTATCAACTGAGACTCACAGAAGGCGCCAGGCTTAAGCCGCCGAGCCTGTTTTAACATGCCCAGTTGGGCAGTCACCGGTAGGACTTTAATTAGGCGGGCACGCACTTCAGAATTCAGGAAGCTGCCCGGTGAAGCGCGGCCGGGCAGAAGCACAGGCATCCACCCGACGGTGCACGAAACCTTCCTCAGGCTTGTGCCCCTGGACCAAGCTCCGTCCCAGGCTTATGAATTTAACTCTGAAGTTCCGCATTTGCAAGCAAAAAGCAGTTTACAAAGTGACCGCAACAAGGCTTGTCCGCTGTACAATTCAAGCGTATTGCATGCCGCGATTGCAGCATGTGTCTCTTGACACATAGCAATTCCGTTTCTGGAACAGGTCTTTTCATATCCTCTCAGATGAGACTAAAATGACTTGCATAATGGACTTCAAACTTGTCTTCTTTACAAGCTTCATGGCGGTGTGGTCGCTCTAACTCCCAGCTGTTTTCTCATCCCGCAAGCTCAAAAACAGCACGCGCCAGCCGAGTCTGCTGCTGCTTCAATTCATAAATCTCCTGCCGCAGTTGCTCGGCCTCCTCGCCCTGTTTGCAAGCTAGCTGATTGCGTCTGTCCTCAATTGCGCTCTGTACTAAGGCCAGGCTCATCTCTGTTGCTTCCATGGCCAGTCGCTGGCTGTGGTCGTGCTCTTCACGGTCACCATCGCCATCGCCCGGCTCGCCCGGATCACGGTCTGGCAAGTACATGGTCGTTGCTGGAGCGACCTCTTCATCTGGGTAGCCGAACCACTCCTGAAATGCATCCTTGGACTTCGGTCGAATAAGCTGTGCATTGCAGCCCTCGGCCTCAGCATATCCGTACCACTCTGCATACCCATCGACCTGAGGCTCCGGGTGCGGGCGAAGGCATTGTAGTGCACGGCTCGGCATGGCTAGCACGGCCAAACCGGCTAGCACTTGTAATCCTGTCTTGTCTCGGCTCGGGCCAAGAAGGAGCTTCCACAAGAGAAGCGGGAGGCCTTGGTCTTTCTGCGCAACTCGCTGTGCTCCCCCGCTTCTGAAGTCAGCTTCTGGTGGTCTCCCAGCCTGAGCCGTCGTGCATTTCTGGCACCTCTGGGCTGCACACCGAAAGACCGGGCGCTTCGCACTCTTAGCATCGTCTCTTGAAGCTTTCGACCCAGAGGAGTCATCTGGCAAGGAGAAGAATGCGGCCGCTCCACGGGCTCTCGAGGTTGTTGGGGTCTGGGCTAGGCACGCCGCCAAGCCGGGGTTGAAGTCAGTTCGTTCAAGCACACCGAGGAAAAGCCTTGGCTCGCTTTGCGGCCCCCGCTTTCTTCTCTGGACAGCTGAGGGACGGGCCCAAGCACCGCCTCCAGGGCAGCCACGGAAGCAAAGGCTTTGCCTTTTGAGAACTGGGCCGCATTGGATCTCCAGAGCTCGCAAACGCACACAGGTGAGAAGCTCGCCGGAGAGAGGCGGCATCTGAGACCACTCGGAAGTCCCAGTGGCCATGGAGACTGCTTCGAGTACCTCCACCTCCACCAGACAAAAAAGGCAGACAAAGCTGCAGAGCTGTGCTTTCCTGCCTGCTGGTGGATGAAGGCCATGGCCTTTTCAGGTGTAGTATCCATTGCAAACACAGCGACAAATCTGAAGCCGATCTCCAAGCTTCCAAGGTCCAGTTCAAACTTGTGTATTATTTTCATGCAGTCCATCCAAACATATCAGAACTCAAGAATCTAACGTTGAGACCATTAGCCAACTGCAGACTGCAACTGCACAACTGCTCGTACAGTCTACTTGGCCTTCGGCCTAAAGCATGCAGCTGCCGGTCTTCTGTATCAGGGCTCTCCTTGCTCAATACCGGGATCTCTGGAAAGTCCGGGAAGCGACCCATCCCTTCGCTAGGAGCTGCCAGTGACCTACAACCACGGCCACCCTTTGCACCATCCTTCACTGTGAGGACGCTGCGTGGTTCACCTCTTGGAAGAGGAGCGGCCTCGCCACCAACAAACTCCGAACCCAAAAAGCCAAACCCATCCTGATTCATCCAGGTACCCTGGATCTACCCGAACGTTGTTCCACGATCAGCATGGGCGCCAACCAACTACGGGGGTTGTTGCCTGCTTGCTGCCGTTGTTGCTCCGTTGCCAAAACAGACGGCAGCCGAGCACTGGGCTTCAGGCAAAAGACGGTCGACGCCTGATCAGAGACACTAACTGAATCCAAGTGTTTCCCAAAGCGTAACCAGGAAATCTCAAAACATGCCAGCCCCTTGCAGGCTCTTGCGTGTTCGCACGAGCTGAGCTGAGTCCATGGCACAGATAGGGATCTGGCAGAGGGCAAAGCCTGCAGAACGGAATAAGGAAGAGACACCTCGACACAACCTAAACCTTAACCCTAAACCCTAAGGGACAGGTGAGAGAGTCACGGTCTGGGCCCGCAGCGGCCGCGCAGAATCCGGACGGATCGTGCAGGAGCTACCTATGCAATATCATGTCATGGGCCCCGTCAAAAGAAGAGACCATCATAGTAACCTAAGTCTAGTCTAGACTTCCCTTGCAAGCCTGATGCTGCGCGTCGTGGCGGCGACTCCCAGCTGGCATCCTCGGGTCAGCTCCCCCTACACGAGCCTGGTAGCCCCGAAGACATTTACCATATCTTGCAATGCAGAGGTCCGAGGAGTCATGCAGCGGGGCTTTGCGAGAAAAAAATGCCGTCTCACTGCCTCACATGAGATACATGCTTGTTGGGGTAGAAAGCCTCATCGCATGACAAAATCGTCAGCTCATGGGTTTTTGTTGGGGCCGTCTGGCAACACGCAGCAAAAAATGGAGTGGACGGACTGGCGACGACTGGGGGATCGTCAGCTTCTCGCTTTGCAAGGTGATCCTGCTCTCACGCTCTGGCTGCGGCGTTGGTGAAGGCAAGACTGGATAGCAGTTGGCGTCCTCCAGTACGGATTCCAGCTGCTCCCGCGAGAAAAGCCTGTACATCGAAGGTTCATCACCGTCGCTAGAAACAATGCAAGCTGTGACGAAATGACGGAACATGCTTTAAGGATGCATCCCGGGGACGGTTCATAGTGTCTGCCGGCAGCCAGAAAAAGGTCTTCTACAGACACCTTGCAAAGATGTCTTGCCAGTGGACTGCACGGCACGGGATGACAGTCAAACAGAAACACCAAGCCTTCAGAGAGTTCTCGATCCGTGCCTGCCATCCGAGTCACGCCGACTCTACCGTTTCAGGTGCCCACATACCGGCGAGAAAAAAGAAGGCCTCCAAGACATGGTCCGGGACCTTCTCGAGCCGTGGTACAACTGACTTCTGGGACTGAGATGACGCGGACCGAGCCTCCGCGATGCTTGCCAGTAGCACCTTCAAAGATGCTGCATGGGCTCGTGCCGTGCTGCAGTGCTGAGCTTGAAGAAACTTGAGGTACCAAGAAAGGGGAAAAATACCCGCTGTCATGGACATCGAGTCGGGGCCGAGAGGAGGGCTACCCCAGGAAAAAAAATGACGACGACTATGCTAGTATGAGGATGGTGCACTTTATGACTCGGATCCGACCCAGACCCTTCCTGTGACCTGCTTGTACTTGAGAGCTATGGGCAGGGACATGCAGGGACGAAGGCTTTATGTATGTTCATGGACTTGCTTTTGTCCGTGGTTTCGACATCTCCTAGCTTTCCCCTACCTCGCCATCTGAACCCAAGCCTAGCCCAGTCTTCCGTACTCCAAGGTAGAATGTGCGAGCGCGAGAGGTCGCCAGGTGTCCAACTCTGCCTCCCGTCTATGTCTGATCCAGCTGTGCACTCTGCTGCGCCATTCGGGTTTGGGGTCTTGACCACCTGGTCCAAAGCACTTTCTCAGGCGCATTATGGCAGCTCCGTAAGGGGCTGTGTGGTCCTTCGTGCCCTCGGGGCCGACATCGGGTGCGCACGACCCCACGAGCGGCTTAACGCAACGCGCCCCTTCGAATTGCAGCAGATCTGCAGGCACACTCTGCCGATGTGTGTGTGTGTGTGTGCCGACTGAGCAGTCGGACATGAACTCGCATGTCACATTCACACCGGACAGAGCTCGTCTAGCTTTTATGTAAAGGACTAACTGCAGCAAATGTGTGAAAGAATATCCAGAGCTTAGCAGCCAGTTGAGATACCGCCTTGCCTTGCCCACGAGTGTGAGCCAAGCAAGCGATCGGGACATGAGTTGGCTGACTAGCCCGCTTGACCTGCAGAGGAATATGCAGTTTCGGGAAGCCCTGAAAGGCCGTGCTTCTCTCCATTGGGGAGCTCTTTCAAATTCTGGCCAGGCCTCTCCTGGGCATGCCGGCGGCATCCCCAACCGAGCCCCCAGGGAAGAGACGCGCTCTACCTGGTGATTCGGAGTTGGTAAGTGAGCATCTCATAACGGGAGATCCTGATGAGCCCGACAGCGTGGAGCGGCGCACATGGGCAAACATGGCGAGGCTGGACCTACGCCGCGAGCTATGTCCGTGAGATCAGTGAGATCTGTTATCGTTCGGCTTTTCCTTTGCCTTATACTGCTGCACCAGCTTAGGCACGGAACAGAAGATCCAAGATCACAACTCCCATTTTTGCACTACATGTCAGTTATAAACTTCGCAGATGGTTAAATACGGTTACACGGTGCGGCAAATCCGAAAGCAGCTCCTTCACCTTGCGAAGGGTGACCAGGCTGACGGCTCGCGTGACAACCATCACGAAGGCATCCAGGGAGTACCTTCAAAACGTTTTGCAGGGCATTTTTGCCTTCAAAGGGGGTTTGCGCGGCCAGGGCACTTGTAGAATGAGTGCATCTTGCATAGCTCCATCATCAGGAAGAACCTTAATGCCAGATGGCACCACCCGGGGTCCTCTAGAAAACCTGGAACTCGGAATGGGTTTCTCTCTGGGGGTCTTGCAGCAATGACCCGCGGTTTGCCACGAGGCGGTAGTTCTCTGAGACAGTGTTGATCTTTGCCTCAACACTCAACACGTTTTAAGCTCGCGGTTCTTCTTCGCTGCATCTGGCACATGTCCGACAGCAGCAATGGCCTCTGTCGCCTGGGCGACCTTGACTTTCTCCTGCAATGCGGGGGTTCTTGACAGGCATGCATCTACAGGAAGCATTTATCAATATTCCTGCTGCAGCTTCGCTTCCGGATTCGGTCATCTTTGACAGCAGCATGAGAGGGCTTAAGCAAGCCCTCTGCAATGGCGTGTGACTTCGACCTTTCCTGCCTCTTACTCCTCTTGATTCCTTGAACCCTCACCGCCCTCACCAGTTCGCCATGCTGGGGATTCAAGGGCTGCATGTATGAGCCGCAACCACATCGACCGAACTTGGCTCCTTGACCTCATCTGATGTGAACTTTGCATCCTCAAGGCCGAACACCAACTCAGTGTCCTGCGTGAGTGCTACAGACAGTGGCGCCCAAATTCACTTGGCCTTATTTCGACTCGTGGCTGGTGATCTGGATCTTACCGGCAAACGCTCATTGTTGAAGCTGTTGGGTACGTTGAGAAAATGCCCCGAGGGATGCCAGCTCAAGTGAGGAGCACAAGACTGGCATGCCTGCCCTGCAAGACACAAGCAGCAACCAGTTGAAACGGATCTTTTTTCGCTACTGCTCAGCCAGTGCCTCAGGCACAGGGGTCCGGGCTGCCTCAGCAAGTTCACGACCGTGTTGGGCGAAGAGCTCCTTAGCGAAGACCAAGCAACCCCGGCGAACAAAAATCCACAGCTCCACCGCCTAGTCTGCATCTGGCGTCCGCTTGGAGGTGAACTTCGGGCAAAACGGCCCGTCGTGATGCCAACTCCAGGCTAGGACAGCCCGAGAGTCCTCAGTATTTCATGCGCGCATCTGATAGATGTTAACGTATAGCTGTATAATATTGTGTACTTAATTGTATAATACATAGCCCTGAGCTCAAATCGAAAAACGCAAGAGACCGCCCTCATAGCAGAAGTAGTAGACGTCGTCCGCGTCGTCGTCGTCCTCCTCCTCCTCCTCCTTGTCGTTGGCAGCGGTAGTTGTACTGCTACCGCTAACACCACCACCCCCACAACCGCCACTGCTACTTCTTCCTCCTCATCTACTACTAAAACCACTGCTCCTGCTGCGACGACGACGACTACTAATTACTTCTACTACAACTACTACTAGTAGAACTACTGCCACCACCACTAGCAGTCCTGCTGTCACAAGCATGATGGTACCAAATCGCAAGTACTAACATAGCCATGACTGTCGTCGTCGTTGTCGTCATCATGGCCATCATCACCATCATATACCTCAGCAAGATACAGCCGCAACACCTTCCTCCGGCTTTTGCTTTTCAAGTCACTGCACGAAGTGGTAGAATTTCTGAGCAATCTATTGTCTGCTGTTTACAGCTGGCTAAGGCTTGGAACAGGCTGGTGCAAATCAGCCCAGAGTCTGCGCGAGAGCCACCAGAACGGTTTCCTTGCACGCGGCAAGGCTTGGGGACGTTTTCGGACTCAGCATGATCGTTTCTTCCTGTGCCGCAAGAAGCCGGTTGGGACCATAATGATGTGACGAGCCGTCGGGCTCGGGTCAGGCAAGCGGCTCGAGGTTGTAGCATGTCTTGGCACTGGTCCTGAAACTTCGCAAATCACGATGCATCATGAACCTCTCAACTTCCTCATGGACGAGGCAGGTCTTGCAGGCAAGGGGCTCAAAGTGCTGGAGGCGCCTCTTCTGCTGGAAAGCAATCCGGGCTGACCGGGTTTGCTCTTTCCACTGGGCCCCGACATCCGTCTTGTTCCCCACCAGGACAACCGGAATGCTGCCACAGAACTTCCTGATGTCCCTCAGGCGGTTGGGCACACTGCGCCTCAGGAAGTAGGTCAAGAAAGGGCTGAAAGCGTCACATCAGCTCCACTCTGCTTGGGCTCAAGCCAGGATGCTCTCGAACCCATGTCATACATGAGAATGGCTGCCTCATCCATGCAAATGGTGCCAGTATATGACAAGCAAGAGCTGCCCATGTCGTTCCATGACTTTTGGGCTGGAAGCCTGGCCCTGTCCGAAGCCGCGCTCCTCGGCGCTGGGATTGAGCTCCCACACGTTGAAAACGATCCTCGGTAGGAAGCTGCGATGCTCTTAGGCTTACGGCTTGGGAAGCTGCCCCTAACACATGGGAGGATGCGCAGTATGCCTTCTTGAGGCATTGCAGCTGAGTGGGTTGAAGTGAGCTGCTCTCCACATGTCGTAGCAAAGCGCAGCGAGACCACCTTCGCACGGATCACGCACCATATGCGGAATGGTCATCCCGCCGTGCCCCTTCACTGCTGAAACCTTACGGAAAAGCAGTCTTTGAAGGTATGCATCTCGAAAATCTGGTCTGGCACTCTTCAATTCTGCCTCTGTGTCCCGCGCAGCTCCACTCCTGCACTTTGCAAGAGGCATGCGGCTGACTTCTGCGCCTTTAACCTTCACAGCAACTGCCTGTTCCAGGACAGAGCACGTGTAATCCGCTGGCACATCATCGCTCCTGGAAAACTCACCTGTTTGATGCCGGAGAAGGAAGGAGGTCTTTCCAACTGCCCTCTCACCAATCAGCAGGATTTTGAACCTGGGAAGCTCTTGCGTATGTCATGTCAGAGGCAGCGCAAACTTTCAGCTCCATGTGTGAGCAAGTGCCCACACCTCTAAGTGGGGCGCTCGGCAACGTGCCGAAGTGACCGCTGAGCAGAGTCGCTGGGCGTCGAGTCTTTCGTTCCTCACTCCAAGCGAAGGAGCTGAATGCTTGAGCCAAGTAACAGAAGCGCCTACAAAATTATCATATCGACGCATAGTATAGGCCCCTATATTGTCGCAAGGGCAGTAAGTTCGGAACCGCCAGTGAATCTCTCGCCGATCTCGTCGATCACTGCCTCGACTGATTTGAGTGAGTCTGGCCCCCGCTGCAGGGCAAAGCCTTGCCCAAGGGGCCTCCAAGTACTCTTCGTTGTCGAAACGGTCCCACTTCGCCTCGAGAGGAATGACTGATCTCCCCTAAACCCAAAAGGCCCTAAAGATCCTAAAAGGCCCTAAACCTCGGCTCGTCTGGCTGCAGTGCCTGGAAAGCATCGAAGGCAGCTCGGCCCTTCAGCTCCGGAGTCTTGGAGTCGCCTTGGCTTTGCGCTGCTCTGCGCTTCGAAGCGACTCCGAGAGCCTTCTCTGACCATGTCTCTTTGAGCAAAGGCTTCGTCACGCGGATGTTAGGGCTGTTAGGGTTTGGAGTTTGGTTTAGGATTTTAGGGCTTATATAGGTTTTTATTCAAAGAACAGCTAAGCGCGTCGCTGACCTCCTCTACGCGCTGCGGCGTGGCGCAGGATTCACCTTGCAGCAGCACGCAAAGCCACTCCTGATGAGTGCGCCCAGAGGCGCTCATTGGCTGAGTTCCCCACTCTTTGGGCGATTGTGGTAGTATCCCTTCTTGGCGACCTTCACAGCCAAGTGCTCTCGGATGATCGAGACGAAAGACCTGCATCGTGGATGGCCTCTTTGAGAATCGCCAAATCCTCTTCGTCCAGATCATCTTCGTCAAGGCGAACGACGCTCATGGCTCATCTTGTAGCACATGAGATGGTGCGGGAGATCGAAACTGATGAGTTCAAGTTACAGCACACCGAACGGATGTTTGCTTACTGCGGGTGTCTGCAGTGTTCGATCATTGAACCATGAGCCATGACCATTAGTGACTTTAGTGTCGCAACGGTGCTTGCCGGCTAAGAGCGCATGGCTCCTTCAAGCCAGGGCGGGGATTCCGGGTGGATTACGATGTGTTTTCACGTCGGCCGCGACTCTCGGAATATATCGTAGTGCGCAGAGGTTCTCGCAAGATGTTCCCCGAAAGCAGTAATGACCTGTCCTCGAGAATATCACCCTCTGCACCAGCGAGCTTCTCAAGGAGATAGGATTCCAGGTCGGCCAGCCGCACCTCACAAACAAAGCTCTGCTTTCTTCTTCCTTCCTCCTTCGAAACACAGCCTCACAATATCACCTCTTTTTACTGTTATTACTATTATAATTATAATTGCTAACATATTGTATTATTATTGCTGTATTTTGCATTACATTTGCATTAGCTTTCTCTCCTTTTCATGCGGGCCTTGAACTCGTTCTGCTGCTGGATCAACTCCGACTTCGTCCGGGCCAGGTCCGGCCTCTCACAGCTTGCAGGGTTTAGGGTCCATTTTTTTTGTTAAGCACCTTTTTCCGCCTAGCAGTTAAGGTCTAGGTTCCAGGTTTAGGGTTTTAGGGTTTAGGGTCTCTCTGCAATTCAAGGGGCTAAGAACCAGCGTTTGCGAGGCTGGAACAAGGGTATAGGGTTTATAAGATTTAGGGGCTAGGGTCATCGTATTCCTTACGGGTTGCTCAGATGAACCCCGCCTCTCCAGCTTCACGACCAAGAAGAGGAGCTGGTCCTGTTTTTGGTGGGGCACCCTCTGAGCCCTTGTAGACTCTTCTCTCCACTCCTTTCTGCTTCCTCGCATCATGGCCGAGCCAAGGTTGGCGTGATTACCGGAACTCGAGCTTTGTAAAGCTTTTCGAAGAAAAGCTTGCATGGTCTTGCACACATACTACACATAGGTCATAGGTCCTGCAAGCCTTGCTCCGTAACCGTGAAGTTAATCACGGTGCATTCGGCCTCGTCACGGTGCGCAACCGAACCGGGGAAGCACTATTGCTTACAAACGAGTCGTGCAAGCATTGCACAGTCCAGCTATACGCTGCAGCTTGTTTCCGCGACCGCTCGCTAGGTCTTGCCACTGTAGGTGGCAGATGTCTCCAAGTCCAACCTCAGATGCTCAGTGTTGCAGAGGTTAGCTTGGAAATGAGCTAGCAGAAACCTATCCCATCATGGCCAAGGGCAGTCGTTCTCACATGGAGAACATTCCCACATCAAGGGTGATGCTAAATCACCAACGGCTGCCCGTTGTCTGCATTGAGCACTAACCCAGAACACCAACACGACTTTCAAAATGCGGAAACTCAATTTCACAATTAACTGCGTCCCGAGCAACACGCCTCTAAGCTCCTTTGGCTTGGGCAGTCGGATGCGGGTAATGCCTCGGAGTTAGGATGAAGTCATCCATCATTGTGAGAGAATCGCACTGCTCATCGTCAAGGGGAGGTCGCCTTCTTGGCGCCCTTCACGGACCTCTTCCAGTATGTCGTTTGCGTGACGCGCTGGCCTTAGCAAGGACAGCTGAAAAGAGAACGTCCCATGCATGCCATCGTCGCAAGGAACCACCTCGCTGCTGTAGCTCCGGCTTGTTTCGGCAAGCTTCAACACATCGTTTAGCTAGCCACTGTCCAAGGCGAACGTAGCTTGTTGGTAAAAAGGGAAGTATGTCCAAAGCACATGCAACAATACATACAGGAGTGAATCACGAGCCTCGAAAAAGTGGCCAGTATTGAATTTGTTAGCTGAACTGAATGCAAACATGCCTGACATGCAGCTGCCAGTAGGTGGCCGTAGGTTTTCTGAGTGGTGAGGTTTTCAGAGACCAGGCCGTGAGAAAAAAATGCCTGGTGGATGCCCAGCGGCACATACGCAACTGAGAACATGCCTCGCGACAACACTACAAGCTGAGTGAGTCTACTGCAGCACTACGATGCTGTGGCAGCTCTTTTGCACGCCTGAAACCAAAGGACTAGAAGTCGAATCCTCGAGTCCCCTGAGACACCTGCACTCCCTGGCGGGTCCCAAGTGTCAGGTGTGGTACCTCCAGTTGCAACCACGGCAGTTGGCGCTGAGATGGATTTTTTTCTACCCCGATACGACTCTGCTCCGGACGGAACTATCTGAATTCCACTTTTCGCCACCAGGTGAGACACATCAAACTTGCACACCTCCTCCCGCCCTGCCTTGCTCCCACAGGGGATGCTTTTTGGGAGGTCAACGAAAGCGCAGGCCTTGGTGAACACGAAAACTGAGACTTGAGCCGCTGAGGCACCTGCAGTCTTGCAGCTTGATCAAGGGCCACACAACGTTCTCTTCAATGATAATTTCCGTCATCTTGATGGCGACTGTAGAACCTCAAAGCACGCGCGCGACAATCCAAAGCGGAAAGGGAAGCTGCAATGCTACGAGCCTTGCCGACCATGAGAGCAATAGTAGTGACTAGTAGTGTGGAGAACTATTCATGGCAATGAACATCACCATAGTCACACGAAGCAGAAGAAGCAGCAGTGGCAGCAGCAGTAGCCGTAGCAGTAGCAGTAGCAGTAGCAGCAGTAGTAGTCGCAGTAGCGCGGTAGCGCCCAGCAGCAGCACCACCACCTTCATCAGCCGCAGGAGCGGCAGGAGTAGGAGTACGAGCAGCAGTAGTAGCAGCAACAGCAGCAGCAACGAGGGCAGAGCCACAACATGGTGGAGGCAAGAATAGGTGTCACTGAGCTCTAAAGCTGAAAAAAAAACAAGCGACTCTGCTCCATTGCTCTAGCAATAATGACAACAAAAGTCGTAATGGTACTAACTTTAACAGCAATGGTGCCCGCCTCGGAGCTTTTCCAAAGTGTGCTTAGCCACTTGGAACTCTGAGGTGGAGAGGCCCGCCTGGCATGGAGACCCGAAGGAGCTGGCATTTCTAAACTGGTGCTGATGACCACTACTGTCATCATCTCTCATGTTTTGCTGGTGGCCTATCAATATCGCCTTTGCTACCAACCTTGTCACAGCTCTTCGAGTTTTTGCACCTGCTCCTTTAACCTTTTTCTCAACCACGTGCTGAACACGAAACGCTTTACTCCCTGAAGCCCTGTAGCAAAAGCCACCAAACCGAAACCCCAAATCCTAAACTATTGACTCTTAACCCTAAGCCCTAAACCGTTTAACCCGAAACCCTAAACCCTATAAACCCTAAACCCAAACTAAGAGGCTTTGGCGGCTACTTCTGCTACTCTGCAAATGTGGGCCGGCTCCGCCCGAGCAGCCGCGCGCTCCTCGGATCCCTCGCCTGGCAGGTGCTGGAGCGGCCATATCGGCCATTGTAGGGGCTGAAAGGAGTTGGGTTTTTTGTCTAGGGTTTTGGGGTTTAGGGTTTAGGGCTGAAAGGAGTTGGGTTTTTTGTCTAGGGTTTTGGGGTTTAGGTGTAAGGGAATCAGGGCGTCAAAGTCTCTTTCGGAATCTACGAGTACGGCACCCTAGCACGGGAGTTTGATTGAGTTTTGGGTATGACGGGGGTTCGGGTTGTGTATCACGCTCGTGTCAGGCTTTAACGGGCAGAGGCAGAAACATGCAATTAGAGCAAGTGCACGAAGAGCGGGTTTAGTAAAAGCAACTGTAGGCATGTTCGTGATGACTCGAACAAGCGGGATGATGGCGAACAAGTCTCGTAATATGATAACGACAGTAAAGGGAGACTATCGTCCATTGTATAGCAGCCTTGTCAATGACAGAACCCAGTAGTAATGCTATGCACGAATCATTGAACAAGTACTACATTGCGGTAAGACTCGCTCACTCTTTTCCAAGTCGGCACCTCCAATGTAGAGCAATGTGACATGTGGTCGCACCTCGCAGATGCAACTTTCGGGCAGATTTTCGGAGTAAGCACACAGTGCAAGTCTGCTGTCCTCAATTTGCAGCCCTCGTGCTTGCAATAGCTTTACAGATTACAGACTGGATTGAGGACTGACGCTGGGAATGTGACGACCTGCGATTCTCTACGAGAAGTGAAAGACTTCAGGGAGCCACTACATGCCAGATGAACCCTGGGAGGTATTCCCACAATGTGCATCAAACTCTGGACAACTTGGCCAAGCACCACTGGCAAAAAATTCCGCGGCAGCACGCCGCGCTGGGAGAGCACCTGCCAGAGGCATATCCTATACTCTTGCATATTCCGTGCATACTAACAAGGCAGAAGAAACCACACGACAAGACAAGAGCATGCAGTCGAACTACAGACGTGTGGACAGGCAGACATGCTTATGTGTCAGTGTAGTCAAAGCTCGTCAAACATAGCCCAGTGCAGGTAATGTGTCATGCAACTATGCGGGACACGGCAATCGGAATTTCCTACGCATGACGCAGACGAAGACTGCCGGTGAACACTGTCGACCACGCAGCCATCTATTCCATGACAAGCTGGCTACGCTGTCTGTCGCGAAATTGCAAGTGAACCCCCCAGTCTTCGCCCCAGATCAAGCCTTCAGCACATCCGGCATGTCGATACGCCAGAAGAGCGGCTGTGGCGGCTCAGGCCTGTGACACTTCGTGTGACGAGTGGCTTTGACACACATCCGATGCGCCTCGGTGTCTCCACATGGACCTTAGAACAGGTTCAGGATTCATACGAGTAGAGCTTTCGAGCTCTTGCTGCATCAAAGTCTCGTAACAAGGTTACTACATGTAGGAGCTGTCGCAATGAAGTTATACAGATTCCTGCCATGCATAGTTTCGGCATGATCTGAATGCCAACGGCAGAGTGGCTTGTAATCTGTCAGCACAGCCCACACGACCCCGCTCTCTCGCTTCCTTCTGTGTCTCCCTTACCCCCAAAAGTCTTCAAGAGGCTCCTCGGGACAGCCGAAGAAAACTCCCTCTTACCGTGCCAGCTCTATATACAGGATCATGCATGCGCACATGCGCACTTGCATGGCTGCAAGGACGCGTCAGCAAGCAAACAAAGATGTATGTGTCTATGCAGATGCAGACGCATACAGTGCGTTTTACCTATGCTTCTATATGTAATGAATCGCACACATGTATATAGACACTGCATGCATCCTTTAGAGAGACATCCAGACGCCCATACCTATGCAATCTTATTATCTGATGTCAGGCTCAAACTGAGTGGATGACCTCTGAGGTCCGCTTGGCACGGTGTCGCTCCTCGCAATGGAGCCTGTCGGCCTGCAACCCCCCCACCCTAAACCCTAAACCCTAAACCCAAAGCCCTAAGCCCTAAACCCCTAAAGCAGTAACAAGGGTCTGTGGTTTGCGGTTTGGGGGTGAGGGTTTATGGTTGAAGGATTACAGGTTTGGGCTTTAGGGCTGGGGGTGTTTATTGCTTCAAGGGCATAGGCTTAGCGCTTAGCAGCTTGGGTTCATGTTGTTGACAATCCTTTCAAGTGCGGAAGTGTAAGGAGCAACCACAAGCCCAAACAAGCAACATGCGATGTGAACAACAAGTTTCGTGTTCTGTATACAGCAAAGCGTACCATGACCACACGCTGTATGCACGAACAATCAGGAACATATACTGCTACATCACTAGTTAAGCATAACACAGATCGAACACGAACAGCAGAACGGTGTAACTTTAACCACAACAGAGCATTACACGGCGAATTAGTTCTGGTTTATGAGACACAAGTATGTGACCGTGCTGCGTGAAAGCTGGGAAAACGTCGGAGCCCGTCAGATCAACAGTTCGAAAGTCTGTCATCGTACTTCTAGGGTCAGGGCTACGGTGCATGTCAGCCGGTTGACTTGTGCAGCAAGCTGGACTGTGGGGCGTCAGCCCAGTCCCTCAAACCCGAAGCTCAAAACCCTAAAGCCTACAGCTGCAAACAACTGTAGTCACAACAAGCCACTAGAGCAAGTCAGAGCAAGTATCAATAAATGCAGCGAATTGCTCTTGTCGACATTCTGAGAGGTGCCAGGGCCCGCACTTCGACTGCTCGAGAGCCTGCATGGAAGACTTGCACAAACAGCGAAACTGAGGTGTCGAATGGCTGATCCCATTTTGGCTTCTTAGGTCTTAGGACTGCTCATTCCCAACTGAAAGGCAACTCGAACAGGAACAACTTCCATCATCACGAAACAACTCAAACAAGGCTGAAACATCCGGGTTGAGTCCAATATGATTCGCCAAACTCTGTCCAAGCTGCATGCGTCCAGCCAGTACTCGTCGGCTTCTTGCCGTGCACGCTTCTCCGGAGCTTCGTGGCTTGTGGGCCTCGGGCAGCCCATCTTCGCAGCCACGTGGTGCAACAAAACTAATTGAAGAATGTTTCGATTGCTTCTAGCGTATGATGATTGATTTGTCTTGACCCTCGCAGATGGGCAGAGGGATCCGTTCAGCTCTTTCTAGAAATGGTGTTTCTGCACGCTCATCTGGTGGTTCCAGAGACACACACTTCTAGGGAGAAACCGATGGATCAAACTATATCAAACTTGTCAGAAGCTTTGCTTCAGCTCCGGTTGAACCCACATTCCGAAATCGAGTCTGCAGGTTGAGATTGCAAAGTCCGAGCCCCCAGAATAGTCTCAAAGCTGCCGTTGGGGGGGGGGGGGTGCACATAACCAAAGCTTGCGTTTGCAGATGGCAGGCTCCACGTTTGCAATCGCCGTCCGACCGGGAGTTGGCGCAAGATCCGGATTGGGCTTCAAGGGGTCGCCTAAATTCAGCATCATTGCGTCCAAGCATTTATGGTATGCACTTGCCATGGTGCATCGTTGGGATAGAAAAAGCCACGAATCATGTTGAATCACATGCAAAAGGGACTAGAAGGACAGTAAGTCGAGAAATACGATGATCGTAGTGACAACCACCATGACAAAGGCAACCGAAGCACAATCATATCAATCTCACCACTAACAACGCAAGCAACGAAAGACGACACAAGCGGCAGGAGCGGCGGCAGCAGCAGCAGCAACAACAACCACAACAAGAACACAGAGACAGACTAGACCCATGTGGACAGCTGGAGACATCCGCTGACATAAGCATACGTGGATGGACACATGGATGCTATCACAGGCCTGTTGATAATCAGTTCCACATCCAGTAAGGCTGCCGTCCGGCACGCGTCTCTCTCACTTCCAGACTTCCTTCCTTCTGCCCGTCAAGTTGAGTGCCAGGAGGCACAGTGTCTTTCTTAGTTTCTGCAGGTGAAGCAGACCATGCACGCGTGTCTCTCTCGCTCCCCCTGTCTGTTCTCCCCGTAGGTATCACTTGCATACATACATACATACATCCATCCATCCATACACACACACATACATGTCAAAAGAACATCGGAAACCAACCGACCAATCAATCAGTCAGCCAATCGAACAAACAACCATACATGCCAATTAACGGCACGCATATTGATATAGGTATCTGCATATGTATATACATACCTGTAGATATACAACATGTATACAGACACATACGACGTGTGTGTATGTATACACACACATACAACATGTCTGTTTGTATAGGTATAAAATACAAAGGCTAGTACCTGCACCTGCATGTATGTATGTGTATATATCTATAGCAGAGAGAGAGAGGCAGACAAACACGGATACTTGACAGAGAGAGAAAGTAACGGAGACAATCTATGCCTTCGGGACATACTTGAATACACAAATGAACGAGTTCAACAAATAACACTACCTATCTACGGAATAAAATAGTTGATGTGTCTATGTGTATATATGTATACATACATACATACATACATGCATGCATGCATGCATGCATACATACATACATACATATTTATTTACTATCTCCAGACAGCGCCCACAAGCTTCCTCGCCTGGTCGCGGCTCGTTTTGCAAGCTTCGCCTCGGCACAGTCGCCGGGAGAACCGAGCAAGAGCTGAGGTTACTGGGTGTTTATGTTCTGTGTTTCATGGCTCAGGGTTTTAGGGCTCTGTGCTTTATGGTTTAAGGCTTTAGGGCTCTGTGTTTTATGGTTTCAGGGCTCTGTGTTCCATGGCTCGGGATTTTGCTTTTGCTGTAGGCGCCCTGCCTTCGGCTGCTTGGAAGGAACTGAAGGCACCGATGGAGTCGGGGCCGTGTCTATCAAACCTTCCGGGAGGCAAACCCTTGCAGGGGGACTCCCGGGACCACAAGGAAGCACACCTTGGTAAAGTATAGTAGTAAAGTATGGTAGAGTCTAGCCTGGTATGTACGTATAGTGTCGTATAGTATATCCTATAGTATAGTACGGTACAGTACCACCCCCCGCCCCCCCCGAGACAGCCGAAAACGCAAAATCGGGTGCTTGAGCATCGGAGAAACTCCCAGCAACAGACTCCTGCCGGCAAGTTTAAGCGCGCTCTCGCATGCTCGCGCTTTACCCCTCAATCACGGCACCTAAACTACTTCAATTCTGCAAAGTTGGCCCAACCGGCATGTACGATATGCACTAGATCAGCGACCACTTTGACCTTGGACAAATACCAATTTCAAACCACTCGCATTACATGCAATATTCTGAAACGTAAACGGGATGCGCCTTTCACAATGGTCAGGATGGCGTCCGACGCCTGTCCGCCGTGGAACATTGGTGCAAGAGTGAACAGGCTCTCCATTCTGCTACGAGCCCTTCAGCGCCTCATCAGTCTTGCCAGCCAGAGCGAGATGCACGCTACTCTGCACATCCTCCCTGGCATTCAAGGCATTGCAAGCGTGGGTTCTGTGGGTGATCCGGCAAAGCAGTGCAGCGCTCAAGGCTATGAAGGCAAAAGCCAAACAGAACCCCAAGCCAGGACAAGAATCCCCTCAGCCCGCACCTGGCAAGAAGCCATCGTATAACGTCAGCCTGCAAGGATGGTTAGTCACCGACGGAATCGTAGTCGTATATCAGTCCAGCATCTGCCAGCCTCAAGCTTCGCGAAGTCATCGACAGCCTCGCTACCCATTCTGGCTGCCCTCCTGGTCGCAACTCATGCTTTGCTCTGCCTTGACGGCTGCTTCAAAAACTGCCTGCCAAGGCCTCCAAACCGCGTTGCAAGCGGAGGGCTTGGCCACAGAGAGAGCAGCTATTTTGTGGCTTGCTGACTGCTGTGCTTGCTCAAGAGACTTCTCTTTTTGCATAGTGCACTGTCGGTCGTTGCCGAATGCATCCGAGTGCTGATGTGATCGTGTATTCCACGTGCCTCCAGTCATCACAACGACAGTACACGAGTTTCTGTGCTGGCCATAGAGACTACACCAGAATGTATGCTTAGCCAGGTAGGCTGCGGCTCCATGCATCATCAAGTACCGTGAAATTGCTAGACACGCGCTACCACAAGTTGAGGGGAGCTGGTCAGCTTGTCCACAGGCCTGAATCTCAGGAGGATAGTGCGGGTTGGACAGCTTCGTCTGCATGAAGAGGCGGAACTTGTCGTTGTAGCTGATCTCCTCAACACCGAGTCTCGTTGGACATGTTTGGCTCGACCTTGGCATCTCTCGGGGTCCTTGTCTCCAAGCTTCAGCACCTTGCGCGCCCCGCGCTTGATGGTGTTGCGAGCCTGGCTGGGAGCATGGGCAGGCCAAGAGCAGCCTACAGTGTGGCCTCCGGGACTACATACGACACTTGCAACACTCGCCAGTCCAGTTGAGGCATTGACAATAACGGGTTGAAGCACGGCATCAATGTGCTCCCCCATGTTCTCGACAAGAACCTGTCAGGAGACCACACGCGAATTTCGGTGCGCTGGGCCCGATGCACGGACGGTGTGCACTGCCCTTCGATCCCCTTCGCACAGGGCAGCACGCTTTTCCCGGTTTCGATCGACTTCTCGAACAGCTGCACCTGAGAGGCAGCGACTCGCGCCGAGCTCTCGTGTCAGTGGACTCAGGGCCCCGGCCATTCTCGGGGCTCCCATGCGGGTGATCTCAGTGGCAGCGGATGCGCATCACGGATACCAACATGCTCAAGTGGCGGCCTCAAAGCCACGATCAGTCTCCCTTCCCCGCTGTTGCTCGACAGCACTGCTTCTTGATGTGCTTCCGACCGATGCCAACATAAACACAAGCCCTGGGCGCAGTCTTTCCAAGTAGAAACCTCACGACCGCCTGAAGAGCCACAAGCATCCTTAGGCCGGCCTAGCTTCTTCAAACTAGCCCGACTACTTATAAACAAAAAAAAATCTCAAGTCTTTACCCCATAAACTCATGATGTTGTACACAGAAAATGCGCTTGCGAATGCTCGGACCTTAGCTCCGAAACTGTGGCTTGCGAAGACGGCTTACGAACGGCCGTGGAAAAGTTGGCTGCTTCGTGTTCTCTGGGGTGGAAGCTCCCAGGGAAGCCTGACTCAGGCTCGGGCTTCCAACTTGTTCTCGGATTCCTTGTTCTTAATCCACACGATGCCCTGCGTGCAGACTTGCTTAATGTTATCATTGTCAGGCGTAGATGGAGCGCCGACAGAGTTTGAGTCACCTCCCACCTGAAGTTGAGGGTCGATGACCAGGCTCCATCGTTGACTGCACGACATGATTGCGCCTATAGTGCATGGCATGGTGTAGCCGCAGCTGCTTCGACTTCATGTAGGCTACTCAAGATGTCGAGATTTGAGGCGCGAACCGTTCTCTAAGGAAACACGGTCACTAGGCAGACCATTTGCCTGATCAGTGTGAGGGACAGGCTGACACCCCAGACTTGGAAGCTAGCGTCAAGACATTGCAGGATCCTTCATATCCTTCACATCATGTCTGCATGAGCTGCCAACGTGGCAATTTGGAGTCTGAGGTTGAAACGCACCATCTTGCTTGCTCTGCTTCGGTCGACAGAACCTCATTACAGAACCGGTTTACACGTGGCCCCCTTGTTTTTAAGCCGGCGCTGCATCCCCCAGCAGGCGCCTGCAATGGACTGATCTCGGGTCCCAGAGGTACGTTGCGTGCCTCCGACTGCTCTGGGATCCACATTCCAAGCAGCTCACGAGGCTTCTCCTTTTAAAACTCAAATCTGATGTAACTCAAAGACTGCCTGGAGGAAGTCCACGAAGCTTGCTGTGGCTGTCTCACGGTAATCTCGAGAAAACACCTGGACGCAATGGCACTCCCATGACTGAACCGACTCGCAACCTTTGGCGGCCGAGTCAAGCACGCCAAGATATGACGCAAAAGAGCAGGCCACCAACGAGTCTCCCGGAATGTAGATGAGCTCTTCCGACGTCTTTTCCACCTCGTGCTGGACAGAAATGAAACACATGCCATGCACTGCCTCACAAGATGCAGAGTCTCCAAGAGCGACACGGTCTGCTCCCAAATGACACCGTTGGCACCTCAAGAACACCACGGAGCTAAGCTCATGACTCATCTCTTTCGTGGCTATGGACGTTTGCCAACTAGCTCTGTGCTCCACACTCAGTGCACCAACCAGCCGCTGCGCCATGTCCAACTTGTTCTGACACCTTGGACAACCATCTGCGAGCCCAAAGCAGCTCCAAAACCTTGGGGTCCTGCCGCTCGGCTTCAGCCATGACAGCCTCCTTGTCAGCAATTGCCTGCGATAATTTTTGTATTCTTCTATCATAACTCAGGAAGTCTACTTAGTATACTTCTGAAGCCGTTGCTCTGAGCATCATGTACGCGGCACTCTCACACGAGGCAATCCGCTATTGACGACCTTTTCTGTTCGCACTAGGCCTATGGTGAGCCCGCACCCTGCCGACGAGCCCTATTGGCGCTCAAAGAGCGTTGCAGCATGTTGCAGCGCAGCTGTTGATCCTTCCGGGTCATCGTATGCCGAGAATGAGTGGAGGTGCTCCCTGCACGTTTGATTTGCCTTGCATCAAAGCCCTAATTATACGTACCAAAATTACACCACGAACGGAGTGAAAACATGCACCCACGACATAGCCCAAAGCCCTGAACGATAATATGTGGACCACTGCTGCCCCGAGGGTCATTCTCAGCGACCCGGGCGCTGCAAGCGATCGTCGTCTCGCTTGCTCGGCTTGCGATGTCGCAGGGCGGCTGACGCAGTTCTTGACGTCGTTTTCCCTGAATCGGGTGTCTCCAAATCTCAGTTCTGCCGGTCCACCTTTGGCATCTTCTTCGTCCAGGACTCGTAGTTGTTCAACTGGCCGTTGAAGTTCGTAAGGACCCGCAATCCTTAACCTCAATTCTTAATCTGCCGGAAAGCTAACCCGACATATCGCGACGTCCTAGCCTAACTTCCTTCCTCGAGCGGAAGTGGAACAGCACTGTCCCATCCTCTTCAAGATGCTCTCGTGCTGCTGGACGAAATCAGCGAGTGTGGTCCATTCTCGTGATCAAGATCAGGGCGTCTTGAGCTTCTGGAGGAAAGCAGCTGTTGCTTCTTCCACCCATCCGGACCGCAACGCATTGGAGTCATCCTGCCAACCAAGGTGTCCTCCATGAGATGTGTAGGCCAGCCTAAGCTGCAGTGCCCGCTGCATGCAGGACAGTACCAGTAACATGTGCAGAGCTCTGCGCTATTCGCTTCCTGCGGCGCAAGCGGCATGATGTTGGGATTGGCGCGCACCTTGCCGAAAGGAACCCATCCGGTGCTCATGGGGTCGTCTGCAGCACTAACCATCAACAGCGGCACAGCCACCTGTTCCACCCGGCGACACGAGCTGGCATCGTAGTAATATTCATCCACTGAGTTGTACCCAAACATGCGCCGAATGAGGGCTTCATCTATGTCGAAAACCTCCTGCGCTGACTGCAGTCTGAGACTGTCGACACGCATGTCGGTTCCATTCCAGCCTGGTACAGGTCCACCATAGCGAGACAGCGGCTGTAAGCAATTTCGCAAGTTTCGTGTCACAAAACGGCTGTACACGTACTTTGTGACCCAATGGTCCCGGGCCTGTTGACCACAACGAACCAGACAGTGAGTGGCACAGAGAGCCACTCCACCATTGACGAAGGACTTCGTTTTAAGCGAGCGGGTGTCACGGCCCTGTTCTGCAAGTGTGTTGATCAGGATGTTGGCTCCCAAACTCCAACCCAGCAAAAAGACGGGCTTTTCCTTCTGAGAAGGCTTGACGAGATGGCTTCGCACATAATCGACAGCCTCTCTCACATCATTTGTGGACCCTCGATAGGCTGAAAAAAAGCGCGGTGTTCGAAGGGAGCAGCCAGCACAGCCGCGCATGTTGAGAACACCGACCGCAAAACCGGAACTGGTCAGCCTGAACAGTAGGGAAGTTCAGAAAAGATTCCCGATTGCACCTCTGCATTCAAGAGGCTTATTGGCCATATTCTTGACGTAGCCACCCTGACTGCTCCCGCCCAGCCCTGGAAGGAGCAGCACAAGAGGAGCCTTGCAAGATCTTCGTGGACGATCTGCTTCAATGTTGCATGGAACATTCATGCGCCAGACATACTCAGTGATTCTGGCTTCGTTGACAATATGGTACATCCAAGTCACTTGGCTGGCGATGCCGGGCGCAGTTCTGCCACGACTGTCCTGCCATCAGCTTGCCATGTAAACTCGTGCGAAGAAGCGAAACTTCAGATGGATGTTTCGAAAGAAACAGACATGCAGGCGACGAGATCAAACATCTCAAGAAGTCCTTCACGACGAGGTCCAATGCCAGAGCTCCGCCTGACCGTCGAACAGAAGTCATTGACGCGCTTGCAACATCCCGTGTCACACCCTGGTCTGATGTCTGATGCCGAAGAGCTGTCTTTGGTTGTTATGATGTGGCGCTTGAAGGTGAGGTCTGCAGATGATCTGCACAAGGCGGCAAAAAGCGTCCTCGGTGACTTTGGGGCTCGAGTCAGCCATAAGGAAGCCAAGATCCAAGCGGTGAAAAGCCCAGAACCCTGTTCAACCGTGGCTCATGAGATCGCCCTGCTTGAGGAACCACGGCGGTCGATACCAATGCTGCCACGTCCCCAGGTTCTCGATGCTGCCGGCGAGTTCGGCGAGACAGCTGTCTTCAGAAACGTATACGCCTCAAGTCTGCAACCAGTGACAGAAAGGCATGACTGCCCGGAGGACCTAAGGACCTGGGAGGTGCTACAGTACTCTCTGGACCTTCAACATCTCTTGAAATGGTCTCCGCTCGAGGTTCGGCCTTCATTGCCATCGCGCGTCGGAGGCACAAAGGTTTCTGGCAAGCACGCTGCCGTGACCGAGGACCGCGAGAAGGTCTTTCCTAGAGCTGGCAATACACCGGGGAGGGAGAGAGAGCCTTGAACCTTGGGCAAGCTTCCTTGAAATCTGGAAGTTCTTGAAAGAGCTGATGCAGTGCTTGATCTCGGAGAAGCGTTCAGTCTCGGAGCATCCAAGGGTGCGAGGAAGGACACGCTCCAAGAGCGAGCTAGAAGACCAAGGCCAGCCAGGGCCGAAGGGCGCCATACGGCACGGGACATGGCGAAGCTGGACACGGCTGCAGGCCGTCCCTGTCGACCTACACTTCGAATGCGAACATATGTCCACGGGAGCTGTGTCGGTGCCTCAGGGCTTGTGCTTGTGGCACTTATTGGCTTCCATTCCGTGCAGAAAATCCACATGTGCCGTGGAAGGTTCTCAGCCCTATCGCTTAACTTGATCCAAACCGGTGGACACGATGGGTCCCTGAAGCTTTTCGGACAATTGTGGCATCCCGTATGATATAGCCATGAAGCGCACAGTTGCAACGGCCAGGGCTAGACAACAAGCCACACGACATCACACAACGGTGAGTGCCTCATCAAAATCGGCGACGAGAGTGGCTAGCCTGTCTTCCAAGTCCTCGCAAATTCTGCAAGCAGCATGCCTCGTCCAACTAGCACTGATGGATGAACGAAGTTGACTGCAACCGCACAGCTCCCTACAGCTCCATAGTCCTTGACCATCCCTGTCACCTCTCTGTGACGTTCGTTGGCTTTCTCCAACGTTTCAGTGGCCTCTTGCAGCGACCTGGAAGCCCAAAGGCAGCAGCGTCATGCCCGACTACTCTATCTCACAGTCTGACCTCTTTTTGGGCTCCACTTGGCAGACCACATCGTAGTACCTCAACATCTCAACAGTCCTCAGCTCGTAAGCTTGTCCTTTCGATGCAAGTAGCAAAAACGGGGGCACTTGATGATATTGATGACAAACTCACTGAGGCCTCCAGCTGCCTGGGTCAATGATTGTATCCATCGCAGCGCCGCTACGATGTCTAATTACTTGGTTTTGCTGCTCTTCTACTTGCTCGTGAATGTGCTCCGTATGTCGAAATCAGAACATTACAGCATACTTTCGAAGCGGCCACTGCAAAAGAGCATGCGACTGTTGCCATTTACTTCTCCATGTTGCTACAGAACTATGGCAAGACACTCCCGGACAACACAGGTACGAGAACTGTCAAAGCCACTCACGTTCGGTAGGCTTTTGGAAGCACCATGCGACGCATTGCTTGTACTTACCTTGCAGTTCTGGTATTCCTAGCGAGTACAACGAGCATGTCCTTTTGGCAACTCAACGACTTCTGTTGTGAGCTACGGCAGTACCGGCACTGCCAACCCAGCCTGGGATTTCTTTTTCATGTTGTCTGGGTAGAAGTCCTCACCGAGCCCATCTTTGATTTTCCGGGCCTGGCAAGGAATGCAACTGCAGGGTCTAAGGGACAAGATCCGGGCATGAGTCTGAGATACTTTCAACCTTCGCAGTGCTCTGGACTTTGCAGTGCAAGCCGGGCAGCTCCGCCTCTTCGACGTTCTGCGGCGGAACTTTGCCCTCGTCAATTACGAGCTTGAAGCCCTGGCAGTCCCAGGCGCGTCCAGATTACAAGCATGCTTGATTGGCTTCCGTCCGTCTGCGCGGAGTTCTTGCAGCAGCTGAAAACGCAGGGAGCTCTATCTTTACCGGTGCAGGTTGGAGACCAGCCTTGAGTTGAGCGAGGAACTTCTCCGGGTTGGTCATCATTTTCTGTATTCCTTTCCAGGTCTTGTCCTGATTCCGAGCAGAGAGCCTGGAAACTGCTGGAAGAGATTCCTTGAAGCCCAGTGCTCCTTGGCTCGGCCCTTCTTATCCGTCTCAATCGCAGGATCGATGCCCGCCTAAGGAACGCAGAGCAAGCTGAAGCAGTATCTTCTTCGAGGAGTCCTGGGAAACGCGCATTAACACGGCTGAGCGCGCCACCAGCAGGTGCAACGCAGTCTCGCAGACTTTTGCCACATCATCTGGCGGCCGCGTTAGCGCCTCTCTTTCAAGAGTCGTAGTGTAGTCGCCGTAGTCTGCAGTCGTTGCGATGTATGAACGCATACATGTACTTGTATGTATTGCTCCCAGCCGTGGTTTCCCATGCTGTGGCTGTTAGATCTGCGGTTGTCCTAGAAATCACCGTGTGGGACCGGGTAAACCCTCATTCTTTATGCTTCGGGTCGAAAGATGCGATATGGATATCTAAGCCTGCGACTAGTTTCTTGCTGGAAAGGCATTGGTCTGAAACATGTAGCCCTTAAACACATGTACATACTTAGTCTCTGCCATGGTGAACCTGGCAAGACTGGCAAAGTATGCTTAAATCCTAAAGGCCGCACGACCGAGGTTCTTGATAGTACATAACCAGGCAAGAACTCAAAGACTGTCGTAACAAGAGCACTGGTACTGCCATTGACACCTATGCTCGTGCAGGACTAACATGATTGCAGGCAGACTTTTTCCTATCGGAGCCTTCTCTATGAACAACCACATGCACAGTATTCTGGCGAACATGCGGCCTCTACAAGATGTTGTCTTCATTGCCGTGCTTCATGGCGGCGGTGGTGTTGGTGGTGGTATATATGTATAGGCACACATACGTGTGTATATAAATACAGGCACGAACGGATACATTGGAAATACTGACTCATCTGTGTAGATTTTGACCAGAGGGTGGCAAAGGGAGAGAGGCAGAGTCGCAGGACAGAGTCTACTGGAGCAGTCCTTCAACTCGTTGAACTCCTTCTTGTCCAGCACATCAAGCGCTGCCTGTCGTTGGCGGCACTGAGAGGTGATGCCCTTTTCCTAGAACTCTACAGAGTGTGTGTGTGTGTGTGTGTGGGTGGATGGGTGGGTGCGTGCGTGCGTGCGTGCGTGCGTGCGTGCGTCCACGCGTGCGTGCGTGCGCGAGCACCTGAGTCTACGTCGACATGTGCATGTATGCATGCACTGATGTATGGGTGCATGATGCATGCCCCATCTATGCTTCAAAACTTATTTATTTGTACAGTATCGTTGGAAACTGCAGGAAAGCACAAAGCTCCCCAAGCCTCGGCTTGGTTTACCAGCGGCAAGGCAGCATCGAGATCCTCAAGAGCTCTGTGAAGCTGTGGCTTTGCAACTCGCTCTGTGACGTGACTAAGTGTTTGCCTTTCGGAGCTTTCTGTAATTAAGCATTAAGCACCCTGCTCGCATGCAGTCTTCCTTCTTCTCGGCGACCTGCACATTGAAGGTGAGGCTACCGCCACTCACAGTAAGCCGGCCCAAATCCGAACCCACAAACGAGAAGCACCTAGTGCCCTGCCTGCTGAGCAATCTGGGCGCACTTCACAGCCTCAATGTTGGCCTTCTCCGCCTGCGAACACAGTCCCATGCAGCATGTCTGCCAGAACTTGCACGTCACAGGCAGGATTGCCCATCTTGGTGTGCCATGGTGCCTCGGTATTCACTTTCGTCTTCTCACGGCCCACCTTCGGAGGAAGCTCGTTGCGGGGGCTCTTTCGAGCCATGACCGGCGTTGCTATCAGCTCTGATTGTACTTTCGTGAGCGGCATGCCGGAAAGTGTGGCGGCAACTGCCTCTTCTGCAAATGTGTCGGCTTTCTCAGCTTTCTCCTTCACGATGACCTCGAGCCCAGGCCCATGGAGCTACAGTGTGCCAGATTAAGCACGATGCTGCAAGGTCCTGACGGCTTTTTCCTGCAAGTCCTCTTCCAGGTTCGCCACCTGAATGTGCCACGGTCTGCACTGCGACAAAGGCAGACCGGTAAGGACGGTGTTTGTGCCCTCGCACATCGGATTCTGTTTGCGTGACCAAGGAGACAGCCTTTGAATGTTTTTTGCATTGCGACTGCAGCAAGGAGCCTCCTCCTGTGTGGCCCGCAGCTTGATGAGACCGGAGGACAACCTCGACTTCTTGTCCGCGAGGGCAAAGACCTTCTCTCTTCAGCAAATCTCAAGGCTTTGACTCCACAGCTCACACCCCACAGCGGCGGGTGACAGCGGGCCTGCTTCCCGAGCATGCCGGAGTAGAGCTTGATCAGCTCCAGGAAGCTCTTGGGTGTCGTGTAGGCGAAGCGTTTTTCCTCCTCACGTCCGAAAGTGTCACAGAGTATTGCATCAACAGAAGCAAATGAGGTCCCGCTGCCAGCTGACCTCACTCCGGCTTTTTGCGCAGAGGCCAACGATTCTCTAGGAAGGTCAGTTCGCACACATGATCTTGCACCGTCGGGACAGGTGCCCCAGCAAGATCTTGGTCCCTAACGCTACTTGAGAAGCTTGGGATGGTTGCCGGTGTCGACCCGGGCGCAGAAAGAGTGGACTCCCGGACTGAAGTAAAGCAGACGCTAGTCCAATTTGAGAACAAGAGCAGCTATACTCGCATGATATAACTGTGACACTATGAAAACGACACAAAAAGAAAGAGGGCAGCTCTCAGATGAATTATCTTTACAACTGCGTGCAGGTCTTGTGCGAGCAGCTGCAGCCTGGCAAAGGTGGCAGTCTCGTTTGATCACTCCCGAAAACCCCACAAAATTCCGGTCGCCACACTCGCGAGTCCTCTGCAACCGAATGCTGAGTTCGCTTGCCCTACCAAAGTAGAGATGCTCCCAGATGGGTAGTGTGTGGTACTGTCGTGCCTTACCGCGGTTTCGCCGAGAGCGGCCGGCTGGGCGGGGGCCGCGTAGCTGCAGCCGAGCGGGGGCGCTCGGGCAAGGGTCCCCTGCCGCCAGAGACTGGAAGCAAACTTTTACTTCCGATGTCAGAGAGCAGCCTGTGTGTGGCCAGACTCTGATGAACCAAGCTGCCCTGCGCCCTACTCCTGGGTATGCACTACGTAAAGTCATAGTACCGCACTGTACTGACTGCACCCTCACACCAAAACTACAGAGTTTGTGCCGCGAGTGGATCTGGCATGCAGGGTGAATCGCCTGGATGTCAAACACATCTGGAGAGAGGCTATGAAAAACAACTTGTGCTTCCAGGTACATACCAGTACCTAGCATTCATGAGCACAATGGAGCCGAAGTCGCTGAAGTCCAGGGCAAACCAAAACACTAGGAGGACGGCAACAGGTTGCTTATTGCACTTCCGCGATGAAGGCACTCTACATGGTGCCTTGTGTTCGACGCCGAGCCAGGTCTGGCATCCGCTTGCCTGTCATGCGTGCTTCTATTCAGAGGGTCGCGGGCCAGCTTGCCATCGGGCCATTGTGGGCAGACAACCGGGGCACAAGATTGGTCGCTTCTCTTGCAGATGGCGATTGGCGAAGCATGGCGAAGCATTGCAAACCCTGGCTGGCACACTGCGGTCCTAGCTTACATGTCTCTCGACAGCTGCCGGTCAGATCGGCTTCGGAACGGCCTGAAGCCGGATCCCGGGAAGTTCTCGGCAGCCTGCTCGGAAGAGCCGGGCCTTCAGGCATTTCTGAGGTAGCTTTAAAGGCTCTCAGAAGACCTTGGGGCACCAGCCTCTCTCCTGCTGGTGGATCTGTGGAGGCTGGCCTCCCCGTTCTTTCCGGGTTTCTGGAGCTATGATAAGAAGAGTACATGTAGAAATGAAAACGATGTATACAAGCACTATCCAAGAATCTGCAAAAGCGGGGTGAGCCTGGGAGCAGGACCACTCGACTGCCTTCAGCGCCACAGGATAGAAAAGGCAAAGATGCTCGACTCCGAGAACGCCGAGATCTGTGTGGCGGACCCAGATTTCCAAAGCATGAGTGTGCCGCCATCGATGAGGGTCTGGAGGGCAGGGTATGGGGTTGTTAGAGTTTAGGATAGTTTAGGGTTTAGGGTGAGGTCAACTGACTAGGGAGGCCTGTTGACACACAGCCGTGACCCAGTGCACCCAGCTACTTTTCCGTGACATTAACTCAAGCATATTCAGGCACGCTGGCTACATACATGTCGGAACGAGGATTTCGCACAGACAGAAACTGTCAAGAATCGAACACTTTCATCATCCAAAAAGGGCGGACCGCTCACGCTGCACTTCCTTGCAAACTGGCGGGACCACGCCTGACCCATAAGCGACGGCCGAAATGGAGCCTTCTTTTTGTCCTCCCGGGGCTGGGGACGACTGCTGCGGCAACTGATGCAGGTTGAGTCTGGCCTTGCTGTTGCTCCTGGGGTCTTCCCTGCAGCTTTTGTTCAATCTGCTCTCGTATCACGTCATCGCAAAACTCATGACGTTGCGCGCCTCTGGCCCTGACCCTTCGACAGAGCCTCAGGCACGTGATTGAAGCCAGCATTTTTTGCAACGTTCCGGTTGGGGCTGTGGCGAAAGCCAGCTCACCTTCGCTGCGCTGAGTCATGTATGTTGCACGTGGTGGCCTGCACCAGTGACCAATACAATCCAATACACATGCGGAGATGCATACTCGGAGCATGAGCGTGCGGCAGGGGCCTGGCATCGAGCGACGTGTGGCTGGAGCTGTCCGCGTGGTGAAGCGAAGGTCGCCTTCAGCTGATGGCTGTAATTCAGTGGATCTTCGCTCCTACCTGGTGGCCAAGGCCTCGGTACGTCGAAGTCATGCTCCTAAGCCAGCGAAAAGAGATCTGGGCAAGTTCCAAGCGCGGAAGCAGCAGTAAGGCAATGACACGTTGCTGTAAAGTGTGCAGGATGTCATCCTCTGCGTGATCTGCCTTGCAGCTTCTGGCGAGGATCAGCCTCAAGCGGTCTAAGGAGCAGCTACGCACCTGGGCCTCCTGGAGAGCACGTAATCGTTCCTGAGCCATGTGCCTGAAGAGGAACGCAGCGAACCAGTCAGTCGCAGTAGCAGGTTTCGCCCGTCGCTGAGACATCGATTCCGAGCTGCAGATAGCCGGCGTCCACACCAGCAGTCTCCGCTCGCTGCAGGGCGGCCATGAGGGCCTACGAATAGGAGCCGTCCGTGCCGAAAGGACCACCAGGCTGTAGCGGCTCTGCATTGTTCTAGTTCTACTACAGTATAGCAGCCTGGATGTTGCGACCATCCATGGCTCTGAAGAGGTCCGACTGCGCTTCAGCAGCTGTCAGCACGGATTGAGCGGCTCGCAGCACCTCTGAGAGTGAGTGAGGCTGAAATCCCGATGATTCGTGTTTGAAGGGCTTTGAAAGCCCTCGCTCCCCTCCCGATCCCGTCCCGAACCCGACACCGAGCACCTCCTCTGAGACCCTCAGAGCCCTCCCGATCCCGTCCCGAACCCGACACCGAGCACCTCCTCTGAGACCCTCAGAGCCCGCGCTTTTGCGAGCGCAGCTTCCAGAAGCACCAGGTCGCCAGTGTCAATGGCAGCCTGAAGTTCTGCTTCTGCCTCGCGGCGTTCCGGACCATGCTGCGCAAGCTCTCGGAGGTCCTCCAGCGAAGGGTGATCTGCACATATCTGCGGCTGCTGCGCTATGCCGCGCTCCGCAAGCCGTGCTTAAATGTGCTTACACTCGGCTTGAACCGCCGCCTGCAGCGCCGCCTCCGCATCCTGGATCAGGTTGGCGTCGACCTCGACCTCCCGCGCTCGGAGCAAAGCCAGCTCGAGGGCCTCCGAATTGGGACACCGATGTTTTTACGGACCCGGCTAGGACCTACTAGGAGCTTCGACGAACCGCACCTTCGCATCTTCGCCGGCCATGGCTGCGATGAGCTCCTCCGTCGCGTGCTCCGCCTCGTACCGCTTCATGCGCAACAGGGCGTCCCGTGCGCGCGCGCAGACCTGGACAGGGCAGGCATTGGCTCTCGTCCCACACGGACAAAGGTCAAAACGAGGCATGTAACTTTGCAGCTGATATAAATAATACAGATGCTGGTGTGGCAATGATAGCAAGTTGGTCGTCCGTCTGTCTGAATCCTCGCCGTCTTTCTCCTTCTCGTCACTCGTTTGCTTGCTCGATTACTTTAGTGTCACTCCTCGTGGACCTCCTCCTGGCCTGCCCATCAACTTTGGCGGCTTCTGCGCGAACCAGGGCAGCCGTCAGTGTTGCCATGTCCTCAGAGATCAGCCAGATCTCTGAGAAAATGTGCAAGTCCATGTGGCACTGGCCCCCATCCTTGCCCTTTCACTCCCCTGTCTGAGTCGAGGATCTCCAGTGATGGCCTTCAGCAGCTGTGCCTCCGCCTAGAAACAGAGACAGAGAGAGAGAGAGAGACGGCGTTTCCTGGAGTCGTCGGCCCGGCCTCCTGCTGTTCCAACAAGAATGCCAGCTTCTGCTCACCTGAAGCCGCGGGGACTGAAACAGGGATGCCGACAAACGACCGGCTGCCCAGGGCCTTGGAGCAAAATCTCATCACTAACGCCACCACTTTTCGCCGCATCCAAAGCCTTTTGCAATGCCTCTGTCAAGAAGCGGGACTCCATCTTCGACACAGTGATGCACAGGGTATACTGACAGGATTCTCAGAAAGGGACGTGCAGATCCGACAGCTTCATGGCCGCCAGGAGCTCGTTCAAAGCCAGCAGAGTCGCCCGAGCTGCTTCTTCCTTTGCCTGGCGGAGATGAATTGTATGTTAAGTTATTATATATTATCATATATTAATATATGTTAATATATATTATTATGTATGCCGAGACCCGCGATCCCAGCTCGACGGCAGTGCGCTTCTTAACTGAAGTGGAGCCTCAAGACCACGAAGATGCTCTTGCGCACGGTCAATCACCTACCGAAGCTGCGGTGCTGAGAAACCAGGCATGAAGTGCAACCTTTGGAAAAGCCACCTTCATGCCCAAAATGTGGATCTATGCAATAAATCCATTCAGTACTCTGCACAGGATTCAGGCACGGATGACAGCTGCTGCACAGGACATGGAAACTTCCGCAAACTTATTATGTAAGTCATGGCTTCATGATTGTTCGGAGTCGAGACAGCCAAGACCTGGTCACGCAAACTCAAAACAGGCGGCCAACAGTATACAAGCCTTTCGAAGAAAAGCTGTGACTCGTTCAACCGTCCAGTTACTCTCAAGCGAAGATCATTGCAGTAGTCTATGGCAGTACATGGCTGAAAGGTCTGAAAACAGTTGCCTCCGCTCTGACGCCAGCAGAGCTGGCCCTGTCGATCGCGAGCTCCAGCTGCGACATGTCGCTGCCCTTCATCGCTTCGAGCAGAGCAGCTTCGGCTCGGCCAGCTTCCAGCGTTTGTAGCCGCCGTTGGCATTCCTCGAGCTTGTCACGGCCTTGCTGCACCAAGTCCGGAGAGACCTTTGCTGCAGGATGTTACTCACCTGGCCACAAAGCTTCAAGACCACTGCAAGCGAGATGCCTCGCAGGTCTCGGCCCGCCGTAGAGCTCGTCCTAGATCCTTGCGTGTCGGGATGCTCACACACTCTTGTCATGGCCGCTCCATGCACGCTGCATCATCTTGGGCTGCAGCCTCGATAGCAGACCCGAGCCCCTCTTCTGGCATCGTGCTTTGTAGCGCTGCATCCGCCGCAGCCATGGCTGCCTGCACTGTACAATCCGCTGAACAGGTCGGGTCGAACAGCCAAGTGATCAAAGAGAACCTATGAATCTATGCCAAAGTCTCCTGAAGCTGTGCTGCAGCATCTGTGCGAGCTTCTGCTTCCTCGCACAAGGAAAAACGCGCACAGAGTTCTGCATCGTGCGGCGCTGTATTCTCACCGTTCTGTCCTGGAGCTCCTGGAGACGCTTGCGGCCTTTCCTTGGTCGCTCATGCTGACCGGTGCAGGCGTGACGCCGTGGACTACTAGTGGAGAAGCTGCTAACATCTCCAGCCGCTTGCACTGCTTGCATCTTGCCACGGTTTTAAATCTTGGAAAGCATCGCTGAGAGGGAGTGGATATGGAATGGCGACTTACGTCTAAAGATTTAGAGCAGAGGCTCTTCAACATCTCAGGCGTAACTCGTGCAGCCTCTGCCTCCTGCAAGGCAGCCTGCAGAACCTGTCGAGATGATCGGGGAGAGAAGTTTTACGCCCAAAAAACAGGGGACAAGCTGCTTCTAAATTTCTAAATACGACCCCAACGCATGCGAATCACCGGTTGCCAGTGACATGATAGGCCCTGAT